GGGGTTTGAGCCGCCTGAGCTACTCTACTAGCTCTTTCAGCGTTGGTACTCTTGAGATAGGTGTCACTGAATGTCCAGATCCATTTGGAGTGTGATCCTCCAATTTGTACTTCCCTTTGTCATTGGAATGGTAGACATGCATTACTGTCTTCAGCCATTGTACATCCCCTGTAGCTTGGCGTGACAGGCATGAGCCACTGTGTCCAGCAAGGGGTTGAGATGGTGTCTCGTAAACTTTAATGCCTGGGCTGGCCTTGAACCATGACCCCCCAGCTCCACCCCCTCCATCATCATGTTTATACTGATTTTCACATCTGTTGCTCTTGCCCTACCACTGCACTCTCCTTGTAGAGCAACCACCCTGCTCAGTATCTCCTGAAAATGTCAGACTGAAACCTTATGCTTGAAGTGGCCTGCCCCACCTCAAGTTTGCTTTCCTACAAGACTTCATCCACTTGGAAAAGAATTAGTGCTCACATCCATTCCTTAAACCAGGAAACTTTGGAAATCTGGTGTGGCCAGGAAGTATCTGTCTATGGACAGCTAGCTGCCTTTCCTGACCCATATCCTGACCTTGGCCATTCACTGTGGAAAACTCTTGGCACCTAACACAGAAAGTAAGTCAGCCTCTCTGTCTCTTTGTCTCTGCCTGCATGCCTGTCTGTCTGTCTGTCTCTATCTCTGTCTCTATCTCTGTCTCTGTCTGTCTCTGTCTCTGTCTCTGTCTCTCTCTCTCTCTCTCTCACACACACACACACACACACACTAGTCATTTCTACAAACAACTCTAAGGTATCCCTGAGAGGCCTCTGGGAATGCAGATCCCTGGACCCCGCTCCACCCACAGCTGCCAAACTGGACCCCCAGGCCCTGGCCTTCGAAACCAGCTCCTGGGTAATCCTCCTGCCCTCGGAGAATGACAGGTGCTCACAGGACGCAGCCACCAGGACACCCCAAAGACCTACGTGCCAGAGAGCTGTGTGCCCAGGGCAGCAACAGGGCGACCGGCAGCAGCAGCCCCGCTCGTCGCTCCCTCCACCTTCCCATGGACCCTGGTCTCCACGTCAGGAGGGAAGCTTCACTGGCCCATAGCCCAGCCTGACTGCGAGATCACAATGGGCACTGTGGGAAGCTGCCCTGTGCCCATGCGGCCCCGCGGCTCCTGTGGCCTCCAGGAAGTGGGTGGCCAGGGCAGAGGGATGACCAGTGGCCGCATGGGTGACAACCTGGCCAATGCCGTCCCCGCCGACTCATGAACGTGTCAGAAGGAAGCAGCCGAAGGCCAGCTCCAGGCATGACCTTAGTTTACAAGAAAGAAGCCAAGGTTTCTGGTGCAGCTACTGGTCTAATGCCGCAGCAGAGGATGCGGGAGCAAGCTCACCACCAGCAGGAGGAGCCATCGTCATGTGACTTTCTACTGCTCACCTGCAACATGGAGCAATGATACATCATCGGGGCATGGAGCGCATCCGTGCCCTGATGTGTGTGTTCCAGCAGACGCCACGCCCAGGGTTGTAGTTATCCGAGTCCATCTCTACTCCATCTTCCTGCGGAGGCAGGCCTGAAGGACACGGCATGCAGGAATTGCACGTGCGCGCGCGAGCGCACACACACACGGATCCACTGCAGGGCAGCGCTGGGCAAGCATGCATTTCTTCACTCAGGGAGGCATTCATTTCCTCATTCAAAGGATCATCTCCCACTTGGTGGAGGACTTTCTTCACACCAGCCTTGGGGGATGGTGAATTGGTGAACAGCAGACACTCTCTGCCCCGGGAGCTCCAGCCTCATCCGAGAGAGGTCCACAAGACCATTGCTGGCAGCTGGAGGTGTGCACAGGTATGTGCGGAGATCTCCAGAGGAACGAGCTTCCAAATGGAGATGGTCTTAGGGAAGAATGGGAAAGTGTTTGTTGTGGTTGAATTGTGCTCCTCAAAACTCACGTGTCAGAGGGGAAAACTGGGAGAGGACAAGGGGAGGGGTGACCCTGTCCAAAAAGAAACCTGCTCTTTACCTAACTTACGTAACTGTGACCCCTTTGTCCATCACCTTTATAATAACAATTTTAAAAATTACAAGCTCCTATGCTAAAGTCCTAGCTCACAGCCTCCACGCAGGGGCGTCATTTGGAAATAGGGTCGCTGTAGATGTAGTTAGTTAAGGTGAAGTCATGTTAGAGTTGGGAAGGTCCTTACTCCAAAGACCAGTGTCCTTATAAAACGGAGCTTTCAATGAATGCACCACAGAGAGAAGCCTGTGGGTGTGCCATCAGCCAGGGCTCCCCAGGGGCTGTGAGAGGAGCCTGGCCTGATGCAGGCCCCTCCCTAGCACAGCCAGACGCAGGGCAACACTGTGATGTACTTCTGGCCTCCATACTCCAGACAATGCTAGTTGTCCTAAGTCATTCTTCAGGTGCAGCCACCCCACGAAGCAAATACTGTATTCTAGCTGGGCAGAAAACAATACAAAGGCCCAGAGGAGTGTGAGGGCTGTGCTGCTGGTGGTAGAAGAATCGGGGTTTGAACTCTGGGCCTCAGGTTGTTATCATGATACTGCCGAACTCTCTCTCCAGTTCTGCTTTATGATGAGGTCTTGCTTCCTGCCCAGGTATGTGTCTAAGCTGTAATCCTGGTACGTGTCTGAGCTGTCATCCCTCTGTTATAGACCTTTCCCTTTGCTGGTACCATAGGTGTGCACCACAGTGTCCAACTTCCTGTCCATGGAGACAGAATTTCACAGACTTTTCGGCCTAGAACTGTGATTCTCCCCTCTCGGCCTCTCCTCTAACTTGCAATGAAAGTTTTGCACCACTGAGCCCAACTAGGAGTTGAGAAGTAGAGGTCTTGCTGCCTGTTTTGCTCTGGGTGTTCTTGAACTGTGATCCTCCTGTTCTCAGCCTCCCATGTAGCTAGGATTACAAGTGTGAACTGCTAGTTCCACGGTAGAAACTTCTAAGTTAAATGACTTAGAGTTGCTCCCTGGGTAGCTAAAAATAATTATGGGATGCTTGCCAATTTGTATGGTTCAAGCTAAATTAGTAAGTCAGATCTGTGGACTTAAATGGCAGAGGTCAATTTATTGTGAAGCTTGGATCTGAATAAACAGTCTTCCCTTAGTCTTCTGTGGCCACAAATACAGGCATATGGAGATAGCAATCATGACTAATGATTGACATAGAGCCGTGGGTTTAACCATTTTCCCAAATTTAGCAATCATGACTAATGATTGACATAGAGCCGTAGGTTTAACCATTTTCCCAAATTCTATACATCATGGAACCTTTCTTCTGGTAGATAGTTTTTTTCAGCTTTAACATTTATCTTTTAAAACACTTGGAAATATCCCATTGGAATGATTGAAAGCTACAGGAGCACAAGGCAGGCAGCCTGTGTGATTGGGTGTGAGTTTCATCAGAAGGAGAATTTCTGCTGTTCTCTAAGCTGTCGCGAGGCACCGGGGTTCCTCCACCGAGCTCCTACCTTCCCGGTGCAGGTGTGGGCTCGGGGTGAGAGAGAAGTGAGAGGGAAAGGCCCTTCCCCGCTCTGTAGAAACAGCATCGATGAGCTCAGCAGGGCAAGACGCGTGTGAAGCAGGAGCAAGGCATCGATAGAGATTTGCCGGCAGCACTGCACCTCCAGCCCTGCTTCTGTACCGTTTCTGTGGTGGGCCCGGAAAGGGGGAACAGAGCGCATGCACCATCTCATTCAGACCCTGAATAATACAGAAATCTCCAAGCAGCGACATCTTGATCAAAACAGCGTCGCGTGAACATGTAGGAGCATACCAAACACAATCCTAACCTATCTAGTGCTTTAATTATAATTGCTTCACAATGATATATATGCATGTAACACGTGTGTGTAGATAATGTGTATACACACTGTTGTAAGGATTATGGGATGCATGGTGTGTGTCCATCCGCTCTACATCCCCGTACCCTTCCCGTGCCTGCTGTGCCCACGGCATGAATGCACGCGTGAACATTCTGCCCCCATGTGGGACTACATGGCTGTCTCCCTTGTTCTAGGTAGATGTGGCTATAACAAAAGGCCTAGAAAAGAATCCATTGCACTCTGGCTGCAAGGGGTTAGCATTGGTTTTCAAAGATGGTCTGGAGGGTTTTCAAAAACAGATTTGTGTCCTTGCTGTCAACCTGGCCCGAGTCCGTTCTTTGTTTCTTCTTGGTGGAGCTACCCACTCGCCCTCTTGTCCTCAGATTTTTTTTGGTGGTGGTGGGGGGAGGGTTGGTCGTGGGGCCTGAACTCTGGCCCTGGGCGCTGTCCCTCAGCTTTTCAGCTCAAGGTGAGCGCTCTACCACTTGAGCCCCAGCGACACTTCTGGTTTTCTGGTGGTTCATTGGAGATAAGAGTCTCACAGATTTTTCCTTCCCGGACTGGCTTTGAACTGCGATCCTCAGATCTCAGCCTCCTGAGTAGCTAGGATGACAGACGTGAGCCTCGGGCACCCGGCCTTCCTCAGATTTTGAATCCTCTTTCACATGATGAGTACTTGGCTGTGGTCCCAGTCAGCGGCCCATGGGGACAGAGAGGACAGACATCTTGTTCTGCTGAATTATTTTTTGGATATGGCAAGGGGAGGGGGGAAAGGTGTTGTCTGTAAGTCTCGAGTCCTAATCCTCCATGTTGAGCTCCAAACTAGATGGATACTAACTCTCCTTCACCGAGTCCCGGGACCCTGAAGCATCTGAGCCTCGGGTGGGGGCTCCCGGGTATGTGTGTGTCCTGCCCTGTGCGGAGAGAGCACCGCTGGCCCGTGGCTAGGGAGGACTGTGCATCTCAGGAGGGAAAAAACGCAGGTGCTGCTTGGACACCCATCACACTGAGATCTGGAGAATCAAATCCTGTGTCTACCTCCCAGGCCCTGGGGTAGGGCCCACCCCCGCTGCTCCCCAACCCCCACTGCTCCCCAGATGCTTGTGGGGGGGGTGCTGCATTCGAGAATGGGTAGGAGGAGAGAAGGAAAACGGATGGGTCCGAGTCTTAGCCGTATAATTTATCGCTGGTAAACATGGACACAAGCAGAACTTGAGACCCCAGGGCTAGCAACCCGGAGCACTGTGGAGCAGGGGTCAGGGAGCTTCTTGGGGCTCCTGAGAGGGGGAGGGCTCTCCCCTCCTTCTCGGTCTCTTTCTGGATCCATGGAATAAATTGAGCCACAGATACAAACAGACCGGGTCTCCCCCTGGAGCCGGAGTCCAGGCCCCAGCTGAAGACACCCACTTGGTAGAGCCTCTGGGTCCCCCATTTGGCACACACCATGGGTGCCCCGCTGTCTCCCTGGAAATGAAAAGAGGAGAAAGCAGTCAGTAGGGACTCCATTAGAGAATGTGGGGCGGGGCCAGTGGGGTGGGAGACGGGGCTCCCTCTGCCCTCTCGGTCTGGGCCCCTAGCAGCTGGGGTGTGGGGAGGGAGGGCCTGGCCGGGCCGAGTACCTGGCAGGTGCCTTTGGTGTGGAGTTCCTGCCAAGCACAGAGCGAGTTCCTGGGGAGCTGGGTCACCCTCTTGGCGCATTCTCTCCTGTTAATCTGAACCACCCTCAGCTTCTTCAGGTTCATGTTGAGGTTGTCGTGTTGGCCTGGCAACGGGAGGAAGGCTGTCTGAGAATGGGCGTGGCGGTGACCGCGGGCAGTGACCAGGTCACACACAGGAGTGGCGTCCTGGAGGGCCAGCAGCTCCAGCGCCCAGGCTGCCCTGCGTGGGCCGAGGCCCCACCACTCTCCTCCCAGCGTTGGCAGAGTCCATCTGCCTGCGTGTCTCCCGGCAGGAGGGTCCTCTTGGCATGTTCTGGCCCTGTGCTGTTCTAAAGGAAAAGCCCAACACCCCCACACCCACGGCGCCCCAGCCTTGCCGAGCCAAATGGAGAAACGAGGAAGAGAGCGTCACCGGACGAAGGACTGACCAAGGTGCTGAAAGAACTCTTGGGCCTTCTCCCCTCCCACTCCCTCCTGGAAACCCTCTGCTGCTCTAGACAATCCCTGGCTTGCCGTTATCAAGGGTGATTATCTGAGTCGTGTGGACAGCGGGTGGGAAGGAGGACTTTGTAAACCAGCAGGAGGCGGGGGTAGGGAGAAGAATCTATCAAAATGATCACGGCTTTCAAGTGTTGGAGATTTTTGTCTCTGTTCCAGGCTTTTAATGGAGACCTTTTCTGTACCATTTCACGCATGGAATCTAGGCAGCTTATTTGTAGGAGGCGTTACTGTGACCCTGGAGATGAGCAAAGATCATGCTCAGAATTCAGACCTGAGCTTTCCACATCCCAAGCACCGTGCTGTCCAGCCAGGCCACCAGGTGCTGGCCCTCTGTGGGTCCCCAGGGGAGCGCACATACCATACCTCTGAGCCGGTACCCACTCTGCCATCCAGCACCGGTCCCAGCGGCTCTCCTTCCCCGGCAGGCAGACGGGCATCTTGAAGTTGGTGAAGTGCACCGGGGAGGCCAGCAGCAGCAGGCAGAGGTCGCTGTCCAGGTGGGGCGGGCGGTAATCGTTGTGAGCGATGATCTTCCGCACCTGTTTCCTCTCCAGGCGGATGTCACTCAGTGTTTTCACTCCCATGACCACGGTGACATTTATCAGGGCCCTTTCTAATCTGAAGAATTAAAATAAAAATGCACTCACCGACACGTTCATGCACAGTCGACTCAGACACTAAACACCGGGGAGTCCAGAGGTGATGCCTGGGCCTAGAGCGAGGCCAGGCTGGAGCTCGGCTATGTCAGAGTCAGGCCCAGACCCAGGTGAATCCCTGAGCCAAAAAGCCATCCACCAGGGAAGCTGCCGCCAGAGAGGCGCAGTGACTCTGTCTGGGAGAAGGCGGTGCGCGCGTCTGAGCCGCGGGGAGCGTGGCTGTGCTGCGGACTGTGCACTTGAACAGCACACAGTAGGTGCTCGGTGTGTGCTTGCAGGATGAGTGAGGGTAGTGTATTGTCCTCATGTCCTGGACTGATTTTCTGGTACTGCTGCCTACCTATGGGATGTTTGATATGGCGAAGAGGAGACAGTGAGAAGGAGCAGACTTTGGTTCCAAAGTCAACTGGAACTTCCTGGATCAGAGTCCTGGCTTCAACCCCCAGCCCAGAGGGTGACCGGCCGGATCGCATGTGGACGAGACTCAGTGTGAATGAAGACGCCGTCCCGGACACTCACAGCGTTCCCGGGAAGCAGTGGGCGGCCGTGAGGACCCACCACCGGTGGATGATGGAGCCGGCACACACGTGTTTCTGGAAAGCCTGGACGCTCACTTGCCAGGGGAACTCGCCATTCTGAACCTCAAGCAGCTCACGGAATGGCAACCACGATGAGTTTGGAAAGGCGGGTCGGTAGCCGCACTGAACGGTTTCTGAAACAAGGAAAGAGCCACTGTCCCCCGACAGGCCCTGAGAAGGCCTCCCCCCCACCCCGATCCACGTGAGCACCTCCCACGCTGGGTGAAGTCAGGCAAGGTGCTGAGGGGACAAGACACCAACAAATCACACCTCCTCTTGTGTTTATTACATCCACAAAGAATTGTGAGCACAGAGCTCAACCAAAACACACACGCAAACAAACAGAGGTTGGAATACGACTATGCTAACACAGCAAAGATTTGTATGGTCCATTCAGGAGACACTAACCGTGTGGTAGTTTGAACAGAGAACTTGCTAGGAAGAGTCACAGACTATAACTGGGCTAACTATAAAGAGTTGAAGACTCTAAGGGTCCCAAGGGGCTGGGGGAGAGCGCCTCAAGAAGGGGCAGACTTGGAGCATTGCTGCACACTGGGGTTCAGAATGCAGTGAGCGAGTATTTGGAGCTCAGGGGATGGCAGAGAAGTTTGCTCAAGCCAGCGTGGCTATCGAGACACGAGTGTTGAAGTGTTGGCAGCACACACAAGCTTTGTTTGAGTGATACGCTCTGGATCTGCAGGCGGACCTACCGGCATCCTAGATTTTATTTGAGGCAGACCTACTGGCATCCTGGACTCAAAGCATGAGATGGATGGGAATTTTCCAGATCAGAAGGGAAGGAGATCTGAAAGGGGACGGGGGCTCACGCCTGTAATCCTAGCTGCTCAGCAGACTGAAGTCTGAGGATCATGGTTCAAAGCCAGCCTAGGCAGTAAAGTCTATGAGTCTCGGCTCTATGACCACCAGAAAGTCAGAAACGGAGCTGCCTCAAGAAAAGAGCAGCAGCCTGGACCAAAAAGGCCAAGTGCGAGCACCAGGCCCTGAGCTCAAGCCCCACAATCGGCACGCGTGTGCACGAATGCACGTGTGTGCACGCACGCACACACACACACGTCCAGGTAACACCCACTGTAGTCTGGCACAGACCTCCGTCATTGTGGGCATGTCCCCTGAGTGCGAGGAGCAACACCATCACAAGTGGGAGCATCTTCCTCTTGTTCCAGTCCAGACTCGCCCAATCCGCCGTCAGCCCAGGCTGGCACACCTCCGGCTGCAGTGGCTCCAGGGGAGGCATCACAAATGCATGGCAGAGCTGGCCGGTGACGTCACAGTGAGTGCCAGGACTGGGGGGCAGCAGTGGCTGAGGCCGGCCTGGCACGGCTGCATCCTCACGGCCCCGCATTTCCTGCCTAGCTCCCTCAGCAGCTGCAGCTCGGGGCCCTCACGGCCCACGCGGCCCAACATCTGTCAGCGCGCACCCTTCCCACGCTTCCCCTGCACCTGGACGAGCCGTTGAGTCCACCACCGTCTGCTCCGACACGAGCGAGCTTTGTGTGTCTGGGTGAGATTTTATATTCTCTTAGAACCAGGTCTAAAAAAAAAAAAAAAAACAGCCCTGCTGTGTCTTGTTAGATTTCCACCTTGTCATGAGGTTGGTGGGAAGCAGGAGGAGAATTCTTTTTTTTTTGGGGGGGGGGTGCGGTCGTGGGGCCTGAACTCTGGGCCTGGGCGCTGTCCCTCAGCTCTTCAGCTCAAGGCTAGTGCTCTACCACCTGAGCCACAGCGCCACTTCTGGCTTTTTTCTTTTTGCTTATGTGGTGCTAAGGAATGGAACCCAGGGCCTCAGGCATGCAAGACAAGCGCTCTACCACTGAGCCACCTTCCCAGCTCGGAGAATTCTTTTTTTAAGCGGCTCATGTGGTATTGTCACACGAGGATCACTCTGGGAAGTGGCTCTAGTGACCCAGGCGAGAGGTGCTGGTCTGAGGTCAGCAGGAAGAGACGAAGGACTTAAACTAATTTCTAAAAACACACAGAAAGCTGGATTTGACAGAGAACGTCTAAAGTACCAACTATGTGGTAAAGGTAGTAAGACTGAGGCCAGAGTCAGCTTGGAACTGGAGAGAATCAATCTGAAAACAAAGGGCAAAGGTCCTGGCAGAGAGCCTGCCTGAGTTCACGTTCCAGTATTGTCCCCCCAGAATTGTAACACACTTTTCATTTCCATTATTTTTGTTGTTCTTCCCCTGTGTGCTCTATTTTTTTTTTTTTTTTTTTTTTTTTTTATTGTAAAGCTACTATACAGAGGGTCACAGTTACATGAGTGAGGTTATGAGTACACTTCCTCTTGAACATTGTTACCCCCTCCATTGTTTTCCCCCTACCATCCCCTCCCTCCCTCCCTTCCCCGAGGTTCTTTTTTTTTTTTTTTTTTTTTTGATTGTGATTAAATGATTACATAATTTCAAAGTCACAAGTTCATTCTAACTTCCCTGGAGCAAATTGTCTACCACAGTCTGTAATATATAACAGTGTTCACATGTTATATACCATATTTGTGATCAGCAGCATGAGGATATTTAGTAGTGGTTCAACCAGATGAGCGGGAGTTCTTTGTTTCTTAAGTCCTGTTAGTTTTGTCGTATCACTAACCTTTTGGATTTAGCATCCACTTATGAGGGAGACCATGTACCGTTTGTCTCTTCGTTCTTGGCTTACCTCGCTCAACATGATTCCTTCTAGCTCCATCCATTTCCCTGCAAATGCCATTATTTTGTCATTTCTAATGGCTGCATAATATTCCATTGTGTATAGATACCACAATTTTTGGATCCATTCATCTGTGGTGGGGCACCTAGGTTGTTTCCATATCCTAGCTATTGCGAACAGTGCTGCAATAAACATGGAGGTGCACGTGTCCTTGTATATTGGTTCCTGTTGTTCAGGGTAGATGCCTAGAAGTGGTATGACTGGGTCGTAAGGGAGGTCAATCTTTAGCTTTCTAAGGACCCTCCAGACTGCTTTCCAAAGTGGTTGTATAAGTGTACATTCCCACCAGCAGTGTAATAGGGTTCCTCTTTCTCCACATCCCCTCCAGCATTTGTCGTTGGCTGATTTGTGGATGTGGGACATTCTGACTGGGGTAAGGTGGTATCTCAGGGTTGTCTTTATTTGCATTTCCTTCACCACCAGGGATGATGAACATTTCCTCATGTGTTTCTTTGCCATTTTTATTTCTTCATTTGAGAAGTCCCTCTTTAGTTCCCTTGCCCATTTAGTAATTGGTTTGTTAGGTTTGGGAGGGATTAGTTTCTTGAGTTCCCTGTATATACAGGATGTTAACCCCTTGTCTGATATATTGCTGGTAAATATTTTTTCCCAATTAGTTGGTTGTCTTTCTAGCTTAGTTGCGATAGATTTAGCTGTGCAGAAGCTTTTTATTTTAAGGTAGTCCCATTTGTCGAGTCTCTCTCCAACTTGTTGTGACCCTGGGACTCTGTTCAGGAAGTTCCTTCCTGTGCCTATTAGTTCAAGTGTCTCTCCTATTCTGTCCTGCAGTAGTTTCAGAGATTCAGGTTTAATGTTAAGGTCTTTAATCCATTTTGAGTTGATGTTGGTGCATGGTGATAGGCTGGGGTCCACTTTTAGTTTTCTGCATGTGGCTGCCCAGTTTTCCCAGCACCAGCGGTTGAAGAGGCTGTGTTTCTTCCATTGTATGTCTTTGGCTCCTTTGTCGAATATCAGCTGGCTGTAGGCCTGTGGATTTATATCTGGATCTTCTATTCTGTTCCATTGGTCTTCGGGTCTGTTTTTGTGCCAGTACCATGCTGTCTTTGTGATTATAGCTCTGTAGTAGAGTTTGAAGTTCGGCATGGATAGCCCTCCCATATTGTCTTTATCCCCTAGAATTGTTTTGGCTATTCTAGGTCTTTTGTTGTTCCATATAAATTTTTGGACTGTTTTCTGTATTTCAGTGATGTATGTCATTGGGATTTTAATAGGAATTGCATTGAATTTGTATATTAATTTTGGAAGTATCACCATCTTTACTATATTAAGTCGGCCTATCCAGGAGCATGGGAGGTCTTTCCATTTCCTAGTGTCTTCTGCAATTTCTTTCTTTAACTTTTTATAGTTCTCATTAAATAGTTCTTTTACATCTTTGGTTAGGTTAATTCCTAAATATTTTATTTTTTGGGAGGTTATTGTGAATGGGGTTGCTCCCTTTATTTCCCTCTCTTCCTGTGCGTTATCAGTGTATAGGAAGGCAACTGATTTTTGTGGGTTTATTTTGTATCCTGCTATTTTGCCGAAGTGACTTATGATTTCTAAAAGTTTGGGGATGGAGTTTTTGGGATCGTGGAGGTATAGTATCATGTCGTCTGCAAAAAGGGATAGTTT